TTTTCTCCTTTGTTTGTGTTTGCGAGTCAAACAATGTTATTTCGGACCCTTTGAAGAGGTTTGGTGTTGAATATTGAGCATTAGATGTGTTGAGAAGTCGGTTTGGTCAAATTTTAATGCATTTAAGTCTGAAATGGAGAGACTAAGACTCGACAATAACTTTTTCCTGTGAGTCACGGTCTTGCTTTGCAAGTCATGGTCACGGTTGTGACTTGCCTGATCAGGCTATGACTCCTTAGTAGCGCCTCTTTTTCTAGTTGTAGAGTCACGACAACAATAGTGATGTCACTGTCACGAGCATGACTTCTCAACAGGCCCTGACTCTTGCCTCAACCAAGCTGGCGAGTTACAACCCGAGTCACGACCGTTACTCGCCCAATCAGGCTTTGACTCAAAGAACAGTCATGACCCTATAAAAGCCAAGAGGTTATGGGCATGGGAAACAGATTTCTCCCAGCTAGAAAACCTCCACCCTAGTTGCCTTACCGCCGCCATTGCCCACCCTTCCTACCTATATTTAGGCACTGTCGTCGCCTCGAATCACTTTTGTCTGGTGACCCTTTGTAGAAATTACAGCCGCGTCGGCTGCCTTTCCATCCCCGGTGGCCAAGTTCCAGCTAGGGCCCAGCGAGATCTGCGGACTTTCAAAGACCATTTTTGGTCATCCTTTCATCATGGGTCTCGTCCCTCACCACCTCCTCATACTTGAGTTTTCAGGTTGGTATTTCAGTATTTCCTTGTGATTCTGGAAAAAACAGTTTGTAGGTTGATGGGTAGTGAATTTTAGCCTCCTTGCATGATTTGATTAGCTAGGGGCGAGGGATTTGAATGCATTTGAACTTGCTACCTTGTGTGGATGTTTGAACTGTTTGAATCTTGTACTTGATATGGCCTGGTGGTTGATCTGAATTCTTATTGCATTCACCAAGACTAAGATTGCTGAATTTGCTAGGCTTGCGCTCCATATTAATGCTTAAGTATGACATAAGTTCTTTTCCCCAAATTTTTGGGCTAACACACTTCGAGTGGTTATTTTAGGAGTATCTTTTGCAGGATCATAGCACACATTGACCGCAATCACCCTTAATTGCAGGGTCTTCACCTTTGCGTACATTACAACGAGGCCTTCGACAAATAGAGGCAAGGACATGTTGGGCCCCGCTATCGTCTAAGCATGTTCTACTTTGAGTCGTTCCACTGCCGCCAGGCTATTAAGCTGGTTGTCCTTCACCCAGAGTGGCGACAGTTGTTGGAGCTAGCTAACGACATCCTCTTAGAACTGTGCCTGGAATTCTATAGTACATTCCAACACAGGAGGAACACCGGGGATAAAGCTCTTGGCACAATCACCTTCCGCCTCGGAGGCCATCTACTTATAGAGCATGGCATACGACGATTTCATCATTGTGATCGGCCTCAACCAACACTAGATGTTCGACATCGAGCCGACCATCCCTCAAGCCCCCCGGCAGCAGTTCTTCCAGGCGATTTGCCGATAAAGGTACGTGGACCATGAGTTCATGTTCAAAAAGTCCTAAGTCACCATGTTACGCTCCCCATGGCGTTTCCTATAGGCTCTTCCATATTCTCAATATTCCTAGGTTAGGAGGCCTCTGGGCAAGTGACGAAGTGCCAGATGTATGCACTTTACCACATGGGGTCTATGTAGCGCCACCTCCACTTGAGCTCCATTCTCGCCATCACCTTCCCCAGGGAAAGTCACATTCGAAGGTGGAGCACATTTATAGCGGTCCATATATCACTCGATTGGCGCACCACTTAGGACTGGTGCTCGACCACTGTCACCTGGTTGGCCGCACTCGCGACTTCCTTGCTAATATGATGCAAGCCATAGGGTTGCTCGGCCTAAAGATTGAAATCCAATACATCAAGGGTCTTTGCCAAGCTTTCCTCTTCCCCAGGGAAATGGAGATCAATGAATATATAGATGGAGAGGAACACTTTACGGATTGTATTTGTTTCATTTGCAGAAAAAACGATCATGGAACAGAGAGAGGCAAAGAGGTTGCAGTTGTATAAAAAAAGCTCTCAAATGAGGAGGTTTCCCTAATTTGTTTTTAGGCATCCAACCCTATACTTGGAAAAAATGAACACTTGTGAAGTTATGAATTGTTGCATGAAGTGTGGAAAGTGTTTCACATTATATTGGCAACACTTGTAGCAATGTCCTCTATAGGTGGTGTTGTATAAAGTAATAAGTAACAAATTATGTGTTGCATAAGTGGTACACATTTGCAATCTGACTATGAATTCGAACATTGTGTAATTTTTGTATAATTGTCAAACGGCTCCATTGAAGCGCCACGGTCGTGGGTGCCTCACGGTCGTGCCCTTGCCATGGAATTTCTCGATTGTTAATTTCCTTAGCTGCTTCCGAGGTCTTTGGATGAAATTCCTACGACCAACTCCACGACTGTGGGATAGCCTTGGAACACTTCGTCATTCCATCTATAGATACCTTCCAAGTGCTCTCCAAGTCATCCAATGCTCCAAAATTTCATACTTTGTGCATTATATGTCAAAATATCACCAAATTCAATCCTAAGTGACTTGAAATATTGTTGACATGGGAAGCAAACAACAATAAAATGTCAGTAAAAGCATGTATGATTTATAAGTTATCAAGAGACTCTGATACTATGATTAAAACAAGATAAAAAAATCAACGAACACAAGATTTTCAAGGTTTTTATGATTGTCAAAATTAAACCACGAGAGAGTGATCAACATGTTGTCATAGCATTGATATTATCTTTAATTTACTAGGTTATTTAAGCAATATTTCTATTTTTTGCTAGTTTTATCCCTATTTTGTCGTTTTAGTGTGTTCCATGTCATTGGAAGTAAATTTGCCAATATTTTGCACAAAATAATAATAATGGAAGAATACATTTTGTGATGATTTGAAGAGCATTTGCACGTCTTTTATTTGGAATCAAATTTACTAGTCGAACACGGCCTAGGACACAAGCATGTTGGTTGATGTGCTCGTAACTGTCATAAATTGCAAGGAATTGACCAACAGAGCGAATAAATTCACTATCAAGCTAGACACGGCCATAGGCGCGACCGTGCCTTGGGTCGTGGCCAGTCTTGGAGTCTGGAACCAACTTTAAACACAACCCGAAGCACATTTGTATTTGAACCTGTGTTCGGGCGCGACATTAGCTCTATTTAAGGGAAATTTAGGTTTTACTCAGGGGGGCTTAAGACACTTACCTAAAACCAAAAATACGAGTTAAAGAGGATACATAGGGCTTTTCTGCTTATCAAGCTCAGAGAAATCGACTTCGAGCGATCGATGCAGCAATCGACATGGAGATCATCACCTATTCTTCTTCTTCATTTGTATCTTCTTCCTTCATGAACTAATCTCTCTTTGTTGTTTGGATTAGATAAAATCTAGTTTTGTGATTATGAATAGATTTCAATGTATATATGCTTGTTTAGTTTTCTATGATCTATCTCTATTTTATCTTGTCAGTTTTCAATTGAAACTAGCTTTTTTATTGCTTGTATGTTTTGTGTGTATCACGAGGAGGGTGTTCACATATGTATGATTGAAAACTTAGGTATGGAGGACGAAGGACCTCTGGATTATTATCAAACATAATATGAGAATTTGCAAAACGAATAATGTTTCATTTGATTGATTCTATGTCAAAGAAGATATTAGATCTAGGAATAATTTATTGGAGAGTGTTAATACGCGAGGGTATGAGGTTAAAGCTAATTTGGGAATTCCTATGGTATTGGGAATATAATATCATACATGGATTGTGTCCGGTTTATTCTTATAACTAGTTAGGGGAATTTGAAGTCAATATCAACTGATCCCAATAATTCGAGTTGTTGGGGGAGATCCGTGTATTGTACTTAACCATACTTTCTTAAACACTCCATCAAATAAAAACCAACCCATCGGTTGGAGTTTGCACAGATTCACCATACTATGTGTTTTAAGTCAGCTATTAATATTGACAATCATGAAAACTTAAAAGTATGAGCTTAAGAACCAAATAGCTCTGATTTTTTTGTTTTTTTTGTTGTTGTTGTTGTATAAATGGAGGCAAAATGCCGATAATTACACAAAAGGGACCAAAACAAGCTACAAAAGAGAAACAGGGACAAACGAAAATAGGAGCCCTAAAACTGTAGTCCCTATATCAATCTTGCGTTCGAATGACCCTCCTGGGAAAGCTTACTCCTAAGCTATCTTCAATAAGAATCCTCTCCAATTCACTTGGTAGGTTCGTTAGCTCATGCGTACCGAAGGAATAGACGAGTTTAACCCAATAACTAGCTATTACTGACTCCGAATCTAGCCACCATTTCGGCCCAATTCAAGGGGAGAACCAAGCTTGCTTTCGCAATAAACAAGCCCAAAAGGTCAATTCTCTAAGCTAGAGAAGAAATCATGAGTGCAAAGTTGCTTTCTAATTTCTATTTAGGGCATACAATTGTTGTTTAATAAAAGTGGAACAGTGGAAGTAACCGATTAAATTATATGATAGTCCAAACACATCCCTCAATTGATACTTTCAGAATACTATCGTTGTATCATATGCTTTTTGGAGAGGAGAAAAAAGAAAAGAGAGTGGGGTGAAAGAAAATATCAAAATACACACTTGCTGCAAAGCCATTGTGTCTTATAATTCGATATCAAGATGCCAAGTACAATTTTTATTTTCAAATAGGGACATGAAAACTAGAATTTAATACATAGATATAATACAATATGCATCAGGATTCAGGACTAGGGGCTAGCTATATCTCCCCTTTTTACCTTAAACACTATCGTATCATAATAGAAATAAATTTAAATTAATCAACGCGAAAAAAAAAGAAAAAAACTAGATTGAATATCATTCAGGATCCAAATTTCTATACATGAATGATTAAATAGTCATCCAAATTACCCCAAATATGCATAGTGATCAATGACAATATTTTTTCCTAAGACCATATTTTCATTTTCTCTAGTTCTTATGTCCAACTCCAGGACTATGTCCAGGCTGAGTGGGCTTGAAATCCTGCGCTTCTCCTGAAACAGAGTAACCTTTGTTATCAACAACATCACTGCTCTCGAGCTCGGCTGCATGGCCGACTCCAGGGCTTTGTCCGGGCTTCGTCGGCCTGAAGGCGTCCACGTCATCGGTCAACGCGGCGTGCCCTGCTCCCGGGCTGAACCCAGGGGTGGTGGGCCTGAAACCGTCGTTATTGTAGATTTTGGTCGCTATAAGCTCCCCTGTTTCGTCACCAAAAGCTGCTCTGTTCTGCAACCCGACTTCATGGCCGACCCCGGGGCTAAACCCTGGCGCCGTTGGCCGGAAATCATCTTTACCGTTCGAATCAGATGCATTGCTACTTCCGGTTTCGGGATGTCCGACGCCAGGGCTGACGCCGGGCGCCGTCGGACGGAAGTCTTCCTTCGATCCTGCGTCTTGATCATCGGAAGTGTCTGAAATTGGGGATGCCGGTGGTGGTGGGTTTGTGATGGAACGGAGTTGCCTGCATTCTGTGGTGAGCAGGATTCCGTGGCAGGCAAGGAGTGTGAGAAGAATGGAACATTGGTACAAGGTTTTCCCCATGGCTGATCAGAGGGTAATTTGAGAAGGAGATGAGCGATTCTTTTTTTTGTGGGTGGATTTGCAGAGGCAAGTTTGAATGATGGAATGGTTTGACGAGTTTGAATTGAAATGGCAGGTTGTATTTATAAGCGGGATCTGGAAAAGCGAGGGAATTTGAAGGCAAGGGTCGAAGACTCCTAGTGTATTAATGTATAGATTTTTTTTCTTTTATTCTATGATAAAATGTTTATTATTATATGATTTCTAAAGGGGTAATGATTGATAATATTAGAACTGAAACTACATTGTGGGAGGAGGGTGGGACTTGGGCACTTGGCTAATATATTAAAAAAATTGGATGGACTGTATTAAGATTTGGTTATTTGGCTGCTCTAGTTAAGTGGGATTGTAAGTTGATATTATCATACCGTTTTGGTATAAATGAATTTCATAAGTTTAATAGGTTCGAGTACGTAAAGGAATCTAACTCATAATCTCTCGGTTAACCTTTTATTTTTTGCGAAAGAATGATGTATTTGATTATTAGCTATCTTAAGTTCGTAAATCCTAACTCATAGATATAATCTTACACTTTGTAATTTACTAGTGTTGACTGTGGAGGCTAGGTAAGGACTAAGAGAGAGGTACTAGTGTGCTAACACTTTTCTATTAGCATTATGTTAACATTATACTAAGAGGGGAGGGGGTAGTGGGCTAATAGTTTTTTGTTAACATTAAGTTAACCCTAGCTCCAGCTAATAAAAATATTTCGTTTGGATGACTTATTAGTTTAAATGAGTTGACCCGATTAATGAAGAGAATGTAAGGAGGGACACGCTTGGTATTTTGAAAAATTGGGGAAAGGGGGATTCATGTCACGTGTGCCTTGTGAATTAAATGGGAAAGAGGCGGGGAACCACAAAATCTAGACCACAACATAATTAAACAGACCACAAGTCTAGACCAGAAATTTATTAAACATACCACAAGCCCCATAAAACACAATACAAGTTTCTTAATAGTGGACCTATTTGTAAATTTTTAAAGTTCATGTACCAAAATGTAAGAAGAAAAATACTTAGGTATTAAAATATAATTTTCCATCAATTTTTTTAAGACTTATAACGAAAAAATTAATTTCAAATACTAAAGCAAACAACAATTAACTATATCACAAGCACACCACAACTAACCATATCACAAACTCCATAAAACACACCACAAGTTTTCTAAAACACACCAAAACCCTGACAAAACATATCACAAGTCCATTGAACCACACCAGAAACCTCATAAAGCATACCAAAAATTTATTAAAGCAACCACAAGTTTATTTAAGCAAACAACAATTATTATAAAACACACCTAAACCCTGACAAAGCAACCACAACTCCACTAAAGCACACCAGAAATCTCATAAAGCATACGAAAAGTTTATTAAAGCAACAACAAGTTTATTAAGCAAACCACAAGTTTTCTAAAATACACCAGAACCCAAACAAAGCATACCACAAATCTACTGGATGAGGAATTGTAAAGGATCAATTTGACACAATTATGTCGTTTTGAGACAATTGGAATAAATTGACTAATTTTCCAGCAAAAAATTTGGATGGATTAATTTGTCTGAGATATTTTGAATTGATTTGTTTTGAGTCAATTTCAATTGTTCGGAGAGAGGCAGGTAATTCGAATGACCTCGTTTTAATTGCCTCATTTATAAAATGAAACACTTGGTCAAATTATCTCATTTCTAGATTGATCCATCCAAACAACGAGGCGTAAGTTGATAGAAAAAAAGTGACTAAACAATTTAGTGAGGTTGAGTGGGTGTCATGATAAATCTCACGAAGAACAGACACGGGTCCAATAGTGTATAGAATTTTTGTAGTTTTTTTCCCTTTAGGTCTAGGATTACCTGGGCTGATAAGCTCTGTAGTGATTGAATTTTCTTAATTTTGCTTCTTAAGTACAGTTATTTCGCATAATATTAATTAACTAGCGTGGCCCCCGGCCATTTGGCCGGAGGAAGGTGAGGTATGAAATTTGATAATGTAATGGGGTGTATAGCTTATTGTTGCATAGTTTTTTTTGTTGGTAAACACGTGATAAAAATAGTGAATTTTAGTAGGAAAAAGACATGAATGATGCAACGAATCAAAAATCAGCCTTATGAACCAAAATCAAGTACCTGTTACCTTGTGAAACTATATTGTTTCTGGTAATATGATGAGTTGGAGTAAGTTTTATATAAACCGAATTTCATAAAATCGAATAAAAAATTGCCTATCCCACCAGTTTTCGGGAAATGAGCATCTCACAATCGTTGCTAGCTTTTACTCGGCCCGTTGGCCGATTAATTTGCATTATAAAACTTTCATCTTGTCATCATGGTTTTTTGCAAAGCCATGATAAAATCTAAAGATATCAAGAATGAACAACACGATTTGGAATAGGAACCACCGTTCCTGTATCCCTAGAAAATGGTGGTAAACACGGACTCACCTGCCAAACTGGTTTGGATTGAGATTTTTATCGGGTATCAGGGAACCATGTGATTATAAATTAGACTTTATCAAAACGGGCCAAAAATTGAAATTCAACCTGTTTGACCGACCCATGCCAAACTCTAATTATTCTTTACTTTTAAACTTTCTATTTGAAAATAAAAAATAATGAAAGAAAAGAGATGACTGTAATTCGCCATTTGCACATCACTGATTCGGGAATAATACTATAGAATTTCGAAAGGAAACTGAAAATGTTTAGGATCGTTTTAATGTTAAAAATAACCAAATAGATCTTTCTGTTTAGTTTTTTTACTAACAAATACCAAACGATTCCGTATAATATACACTATAATTTAATCACTATGATATCAAATAATTACATAATATATTTGAAATAATAAAAATTGGACTAATTGGGCTGGTCGAGGTTGAACCATTGAATAACTTTAAAATACATTATATTTTAGCCACTAAGATATAAAATAATAGCATAATATATATTATGCTAGAGAAAATAGCTTGTTTTAGAATGACAAACCCATGATGTTCATTTGTTTTACTTGATGGGCAAATCACGTGTAGGTCAAACCCATTCAAATCTTTTATTTTATGATTAGCGGTTAGCCCATTAGAATCCATGCATTAGTTTATTGTTAAACTTTTTTCTTTTTAGCAATAAAAATGATTATTGTTTTTGCCTTTTCATATATATTTTACCACCACGGAGAAATAAAAGGACTTAAAGAAAACAATTGACACTCCTGGACCCGTTTAAATCCGCATATGTACTGTAAGTTGGCCCGTTCCACAGAGGAAAAAGAAAAAAATTGACACTCCCTATTCTACCCTTCATAAAAAGCTCCTAGAGCAGTGAATTTGAAATGGGGGAAGAATTTTTTCCTCTCTGCGATTATATGTTTTTAATTTAAAAAGATAAAGCAAATGTACTTAGTGTGATTGGTTATGATCTTTGCTTTTCTTTAAAGTGGTCATGGTTCAAATCCTAGTAAGTGTCTTTTTTTTTAATGAATAAAAAAAATTGTGAAGACCAAAATGTCCTTCCTACTTTCACTCTGGATATAGAAAATTTGAAATGGGGCTTCAAGTTTTCTCATTTGGTTTTTATTTATTGTGTAGAGTTAGTTAACTTGCAAACTCTAATTCTTAGGATAATTATAGCCAATATGGTGACTAAAATACTCTTTTATCAAGTACTGATATTGACCAACATTCGTATTTTGTTATAAAAGTTATACAAACAAGTCATGTACTGAACTATATGATTAAATATTTTGTTCAACATAATTTGGTAAACGGGAAATGACACATTTGGTCACTGAGATTATTAAATTGTGTCATGTTTAGTCACTAGAAAAAATTAATATCAATTTTGGTCACTTGAATTACCGAAACTGGTCAAATTTAGTCACTCTCCCGTCAGTTTCCGTCCAACTCCATCAATGTAGTTGGACGGAAACTTTTGGGAGAGTGACTAAATGTGACATGTTACAGTAATACGAGTGACTAAATGTGACATTTTTCAATAATTCGAGTGACCGGAGTTGAACAGAGGCTACAGAAGAGTGACCAAATGTGACCTGTGTCAGTAATTCGAGTGACCAAAATTGATATTAAATTTTTCTAGTGACTAAATATGACACGATTTAGTAATCTCAGTGACCAAATGTGTCATTTACCCTTTGGTAAACTAAGTTTTTTTTTATCCAAGATAAGCCCACAGAGAATGGTTGGACAACAAAATACAAAACATATAATGATAAAGAACGGTGATTCGTATACAACCGGATTCCTGATGAAAGAGTCTGTTATATTACAAGGTGGACCACTCTATGAAAGTTTCAAGGAGCGAAAAGACACGAAACTTACACAAACGTCGGGAAGAGAGAAAAACCTTCCATGTAAGTGGCTCCTTCTCTGGGAAGGCTTCCTCCATATAGGATCCATGTTGGCCAAGTGAGAAACCCAGCAATATGCAACCAATAATACACTATGAGTCACATACCATCACACAACCTCACTAAGGGCAAGTAATTTTGATATGAGCATCGGTAATACCGTAATAGAATTTACCGAAATAAAATGAAAGGAAATAGTTTCATCACCAGAGCAGCCGATCAAGTCAGTTGCATATCCTCAAAGATTCTTTGGCATGATTAAATAAATCATTTAAGATATGAACTCGAGACTTGCTTTCCGGCACATGTCGAGGAGGTGCACAACCATAACTTCACAACACTAAATTTTCCTGCAAAGAGACCAACTACAAAGGCACCATCATGGTGCTAAAAATCTCTAACCGAAGAGATTAAGGTATGCCATAAGACATTTGCCTCCCTTAGATCATATTAACCATGATCCGTGGTATAAATTTTATGCACTTTAAATTAAGAGGGTAACCAGGGTTGTCAGTTTGGTTTGGTTAACTAAACCATTAACCGAAAATAAAAAACCAAATCAGGAAAATTTCCAAAAATCTTAATAAAAATCATT